GAATCATGCCTAGTGCCATTTGTGGTTGTTCCTTTCTTAACAGGGAGCTCAGCATCCCTGCTGGCCCTGGGCTGCTCTTAGCTTCAGACTGTTTTACGCCTGGGTTCCTCCCTCCTCCCCCCTCCCCCTCCTGTCCGCCGGTTCCCCTCCTTCTCTCCCCTCCCAGCCCCCCTCCCTCTCCTTGCCTCTTTCCTCCTCCCTGCCTCCCTCCCCCCTCCCGCCCCGCTGCTTCTTCCCCCTCCTCCTCCGCCTCCTCCCCGCTACCCGGGCCGCTGGTACTCCGTTCTCCTCCCCGCTACCTCCTTCCTCCCTCCCTCCCCTCCCCTCCTCCCCTCCCCCTCCTCTTTCCGCTCCTCCCTCCCCTCCTCCCCTTCCCCCCTCCTCCTCCCTCCGTCTCTCCCTCCTCCCTCCCTCCTCTTCCCTCCCTCCCCTCCCCTCCCTCCCCTCCCCTCCCTTCCCTCCCTTCCCCTCCCTCCCTTCCTCCCTTCCTTCCCATTACTTGAGATACTCTGTGCTAAGCACTGTGCTAGACCCTGAGGCTACAAGCACAGAATGAGATAAACTCCCACCCCTTCCTTCTCTGAACCTGCAAATCTGTATCAGGGATAGTACGGCAACTACGGTGAACGAGTTTAGAAATAGTGGTAGTTGACATGCCCTGAGCCCTTCCTCTGTGCCAGGCCCTGGGCTCTAGTCCTTACAACCAGGCGGGCACTGGTGGCGGCTGTTACTGTCATGACTGTGGCCGCCACTGTTATGCCCATTGCACACATAGGAAAACTGAGACCCAGAGCGGCCAGAAGGGTTGCACAGGGCCGTGCTGCCTGCCGCCAGCAGAGCTGAGCTCAACCCTGATTTCTCCCCACTCAGGGCCCAAGGTCTCACGGTGCCCAAAGCCCCCCTATCCTCTGCGTGTTTCCTGCTGGGACTCGGCCCCTGAGGAAGCTGCGGAGGGGTCGTCAGTCCTGGCCCGGGACCACTGCCCAGCCCTAGCTGTGCCCACGTGGCTGCCAAGATGCCACAGATTCTGCAGGCCCGCTGCGGTCCCTGGCGGGTCTGGCGGAGAGGGCCGTGTGCAAGGGAACCAGCTCTGCCCGCGCTGGCGACACAGCCTCGTAGACGGGCAGACCCGGGCTCGGAGCTCGGCTCCCCTCCGAAAAGGAAGCAGGTGGTGCACGGTCTTCGGGAGGTGGCCCAGGCGTCCTCTCCCCGAGGAAGCCCCTGCTGGACCCTACACTGGTGGTCCTCAGCCCTGGCTGCACATCGAAACCCCCTGGTCATTAAAACCTCCCGGTGACATCGATGGGCGGCAGAGCTGAGAGCCACCGGGCTTGGCCACACACCTCCCCGAGCCGAGTCCTGCCCACCACCTGCTGTCGCGCACGATCGTCTGCGCGCTCCACGGCCATCTGTTTACTCGTCTGCGGCTGCTCTCGCACGACAGGGCGGGGCTGAGTAGTTGTGCGAGAGAAGACCACGTGACTCGCAGAGCCTCAAACACTTACTATACGAGGACCTTTATGGAGATTCGCCAGCCCTGGACTAGGCAGTTACGCATCTTGCCAACCCGCTTAACATCCTTCCAGCCTGACACTGAGCATGTGGCCGTGATAATTGGTGTAAAACAAGCAGGAGCTCCTGGGGCGGGGGCCTCGCTGGGTCGCCCCTGTGGCCCCCAAGCCCAGCACAAGGCCTGGAGCGCAAGATGCCCACTAGTGGCAGGTGTTACTCGATACGGAGCTGTTGCCCTGGGTCTGGGCAGCGAGGTTTGGGGGAGAGGGACGGAAGGTACCGTGCCAGGCCGGGCTGGTTCTCTCCTTAGACACCAGCTCTATTGCTCCCCGGGTCCCACTTCCCAGGGCTGAGGCTCCCAGCATGAGGCCTGCAGCAAGGTGAACCTCAAGGAACCAGGAGAAGAGAGAGCCTGAGGTGGATCGAGGAATTGGTTCCAAGCTAAGGCTGTGGGAAGCCGCCACTAACCTGGCAGGACTGGCATCTGTTGGCCCACAGGTGCTGGGTGTGGCCAGGCTGGTGTGCTCTGGGATCAGGATGGGGCTCAGTTCCCTGGCCTGGCCTCCCATCCCATGTTTGAGTCCAGTTACCGCTTAATGACTGGTGATCCTCCAGTCTTGAATGCCTCTGGTGACGGGGAACTCACCACATGCACCATTATTTGAAAGAGTGAAAAAATGAGAAAACACACAAATGTCTATCAATAGAGTATCGAGGCCAGGCACGGTGGCTCAAGCCTGTAATCCCAGCACTTTGAGAGGCTGAGGTGTGAAGATCGCTTGAAGCAAGACCAAGGAGTTCAAGACCAGCCTGAGCAACATAGCAAGAACCTGTCTCTACCAAAAAAGTTTCAAAAATTAGCTGGGTGTAGTGGTGTGCACCTATAGTCCCAACTACTCAGAAGGCTGAGGCAGGAGGATCGCTTTAGCCCAGAAGTGTGGGGTTGCAGTGAGCTACAACAATGCCAGTGCACTCTAGACTGGGCAACAGAGCAAGACCCTAGCTACAAAAAAATAAAATAAAAATAGAGGTCAGGTGTGGTGGCTCACACCTATAATCCTAGCACTCTGGGAGGCTGAGGCAGGTGGATTGCTCAATGTAAGGAGTTCAAAATAAGCCTGAGCAAGAGTGAGACCCCGTCTCTACTAAAAATAGAAAGAAAATGATTGGCCAACTAAAAATATATAGAAAAAATTAGCCAGGCATGGTGGCGCATGCCTGTAGCCCCAGCTTGTTGGGAGGCTGAGGCAGAAGGATTGCTTGAGCCCAGGAGTTTGAGGTTGCTGTGAGCTAGGCTGATGTCACAGCACTCTAGCCCAGGCAACAGAGTGAGACTCTGTCTCATAAATAAATAAATAAATAGATAGATAGATAAAAGTAAAAGTAGAAAATTGACTATTAATTTTTCCTTCATATAACTATAAGAAAAAAAATGCCTGAGATCTAGGTGCCGCATGGGAAAATTTCTGGGTAAGTAAAAAAATAATCAGGTTATAAGACAGTATTCATTTGAGTCTATTTATGGTTATATATATATATATATATGTATATATATATATATATATATCAGTTACATGGATATATATATCAGTTCTGAAAATACAGACACCAAACTGCTAACAGTGGTGATCCCACTACACGGAGACGTGATTATAGGGGGACTTCTCCTCTCTCTGTGGCAGTGGAATTTCTTTTGTTTGTTTTTGGAACAAGCTTGTGTTATCAGGAAAATAAATAAGATGTTTCTATTAAAAGACAAAGAAAACAAAATATTCTCCCTTATATTGAACTAAAATGTGGCTTCCTATAGCATCAACACACGTGCCTTTGTTTTGGCGTCTGCAGCCACCCAGGCCACGGGAGATATTTGTGGACAGAAACTGTGTTCAGGGTTTGCTCCCTGGGAAGCACGGGCCTGGCCCCCGGGGACAGACGGCGTGGACAGTCCCCGTGTGGTGTGGCTCACAGCCTGCCTTTCTCTAACCCCGTGTGAGCGTGTGTCCCCTGCTAGGCTGGCAGCTGTCTGAGGGCAGAGACTATGCAGTGGACATTTGTGTCGTCCACACAGCATCTGGTGCCGGCCACACAGAGCAAGTCCACGGGACGTTCCGGGTGGACGAGCGAATGGACGAATGGGCAATCTTAGGGGACCAAGATTACCCATGTACGAGTGGCTGTCTCCCTTCTGCGGAGGACTCTGTGGCATTGCTTGCCATCCTCCCCACGTCTCTGCTCCAGCCCAGGCTCCTGGACATGCAGTGAGGAGCAAGAGGTGTCGGGAAGAACCAGAGAACAGAGATGGAGCATTTGCTCTGGGAAGGATGGGGACATCCTCTCATGAGAGGAAAGAGGATAGCGGCGAGAAGACAGGGAGGGCCTTGCGGGGAGCGTTGGGAGTGAGAGGTTTCAGGACAGGTGCAAGGCAAGCGAAAGGCAGAGAGGGCAGTGGAGGAAAGATGCCGGGGTGTGTGATTGGGGGACCGTCCAGGATCTTTAGGAGATGCAAAAATGATTGGAGTTGTTTTTAGTTCAGGGACTGGGCACTGTTCCTGTACACGTGATGCCCGTTGGGACTGGGCCATGTGGAGCTCTGGAATTTATTTGGGCTACAGTCGAATGACACGTGCAGTGAGGGAACACGGCCCCACATGTTCTCCGGCACAGCCGTCAGTGGGATTCGAGTGAGGACACACCTTTGGAGCCGAGTCAGAGAGTGTGTGGTGGCCTCCACTGTCCAGGTCCCTGTGACCCTCTGCTCTGTGCCACACCTGCTGCCACCCCGCAGAGCCTGCTCCCTCTGGGACAGCAGCGATCTTGAGATGCCAGAGAGGAGGGAACCCACACCTAAGAAGCTCTCACGGCGGTTGGTGGGAAGGAGCACTGTGCCAGAAGTTGGAAGACCAGGGCTGTGTTTGCATGCAGAATTATCTCTAGGAAGTGTTTTGATTTAGCTAAGACATGTTATACGGCTCAGAAAAGACCCTTGCCTCTCAAATCGGAAAATAGAATTAAGCAAAAAGAAGGCTCCAGATTTAATACCCCGTAGTTTCAGTTTATGGGGATAATCACCACTAACCTCTTGGTATCTGTTCTGCCAAATAATGTCTGTGCATATCAACGCATAACTTCTAAAACAAATCAAACTGGACACATCTTTTGTAGTATACCATTTGCACATAACTGATGTTTATCTCTTTGCGAGAACAATGGGTTTGCGTCCCTATTCTTCCTCTAGTTCATTAGCTGCGTGGCACCAGTCCGTCACATCAACTCCAAACGCCTCAGTTTCTCCATCAACAGAATGGGAATAATGATGCTCAGCTCACAGGGTTGTGTGCCCTTTGAGAGCCCACGGGGCGGCAGGTGGAAAGTTACTTTGCAAGATGTTCCCTCAAGGGGAGGGACTGCCTGTTTTCGGTCCGGGGCCTCTGCCCGGCTCAGCCTGCTCTTCTCTCACACATCTTTTGTTTTCGTTTTTCCCTCTGCAGGATCGAGAAGGGGGATGGGAGCGAGGAGGAGGACTTTCGCTTGGACTGCCGCCACGAGAGATACCCCACCCGTAAGTGGCCTCGCTTGCATTCGCCTGCCGCTGCAGTTTCATGGGCCGTCGCAGGAGAGAGAAAGCCTGGGATGAGCTAGGCCAGGCCACCAGCGTCCCTGCATCCTCCCCAGACACCCAGCACACATGCGGAAACTGAGGCTGGTGTCTCAGCCTGGCAAGTCCCCCGCAAGCAGCAGCCGCTGCCCTTCCGGCGGGCGTGGGCTGCTGAGAGGAGGCAGGACGGAGGTGCCCAGAGGCAGGCGGGCAGGGAAACCGCAGCGCAGGGGTCAACCTGAGGGAGAACAGGCCGGAGTAGAAGTAGCTGAGTCAGGGAGGTGACAGCGGGCGAGAGACGTTTGCGCCGCAGGTGCTCTTGGTAGCTCAGGATGCGGTGACTTCATACACCTCACGGTGAGATGCAATCTAGGGCGTACATTAGGAAAACAGATGTCAGGACCAGAAGGCCAAGGGGATGTCAAAGGAGAGAAAGGGCCTTGCTCAAGACAGAAAAGGGAATAACCAACATAAGATTAGAGTTACAATGGTCAAATCTCGGCTGAGCCTGCTGAAGGCCCCCACGTGCCTCCCTGCCCACCCCACCCTGTCCTAAGGGCTTCTCATGCCCGATCTCACACTCTTGCCGACCCCCAACCCCTTCGGCCGGCATTGCTACCCACATTTTGCAGATGAGGGAACTAAGGCTCAGAGAGGTGAGGTAACTTGCCCAAGGTCACACAGCTTGGTTAGTCAGTGGCAGAGGAGTTACAGCAGACACTGTCAACGCCCTGGGTCTCAGGTCTTTTAGGAAGCTCCAGTACTTCCATCTGTGTCTGCATCTCTGTGCCTGCAGGCTTCCCCACCTCCACCCCCAGAAGGCTGGGAGTGTCAGGGCAGTTGGCGTATAGACGCCCGGAGTGGGATCCCCGGGCGTGTGTTCTGCGCTCTCCCTGCAGCGCGGACAGTCAGTGGTCATCAGGGTGGCGGCCCCCTTCCCTTCCCCCTGCCCCCTTTCCTCTCTGCCCCCTTTCCACGCCTCCCTACCCGTCACCCGCACTCAGGTTCTTATCTCAGAGTTTGCTCCTGGGGAATGCAAACTAAGGCAGAAGAGATTTAGACGCAGGGCTGTCTGCCTCCTGACCCTGCGATCCTTGTAACTGAACGAGAAATGGCCCTGCGGGGAGGCCCGGCTGCAGCAGAGGAGAGGCTCTGGCCTTCACTGTGGGGAGGAGGCCCCTGAGGGAGGTGTCGGCCTAGGGAGGTGGCCAACGTGCCAGTCACCTGCTTGAGGAACAGGGTGGTCCTGAAGTGTTAGCGTGGGGGGCTTCCTGGAAGGAGGGGTCAGGACCAATGGGGTGGAGGTGGCCGGGGCACTCCTGCGTTGGGGGTGCCAGAGGGGAGGATCCGTCGGGGAGGACCCGTCGGGGAGGGGCTCAGGAGCACACAGCAGGGACGGATCTGGGGGCCCTGGCACGGCCCAGACCCCGTCAGCTCCTGCTCGGCCTGAGCCTCCTGGGCTCCCCGCACAGCAGCGGGCCCCTGCCCTGGCCCCCGGCTCATCTCCTGAGCAGCATTTGCCCATGAAGGAGCTACCCGTGCATTCACCAGGCCTGCGGCCCGTGGGTAACCAGCTGCCACTCCCTCGGCAAGGACTTGTGGGCCACCTGCCGGGTGCCAGGCTGTGCCCGGTGCTGGGGAGGCGGCAGGAGGCCAGTCCCGGGGAGAGGGAGTCGTTTGATCCGTGAACTCGTAACGCGCACGACCACGTCCTGTACAGACAAGTGCCAGGGGAGGGACGTGTGGTGGTAAGAAGGAAGCAGGAGACTCTGTCCTTCAGAGCCAACTGTCAGAGGGGCCTCTGGGCTGGGACCTGCAAGAAAAGTCAGCCAATGAAAGAGCTCTCCCGGCAGAGGGACCCGCAGGCGCAAAGGCCAGAGCCAGGGGGAACGTAGCAGCTTGCTGTGCAATGGGGAGAAGGGCCAACTCTGCAGGGGTGCCGGGGTGGGAGCAGGTGGGAGACACGCCCAAGTCCCACCGCCTTTCTCTCCCCCCCATTTATTATCTCTATTTATTATTTATCTTTATCATGTATCTATCATCTACTTATCTCTCTATCATCTCTCTATCTCTATTATCTCATCATCTCTCCATCATCTCGCTCCTTCATCTCTCTCTCATCTCCCTCTCCCCATTTCCCTGTCTCTCTGTGCACGCGTCTCTGCAGTGTGGGAGGGGTTGGAGGGAAGCAGACGAGTGGCCGCTAGAGCACTCAGCGTGCAGCGTAGGCACAAGGCATCTGCTGTGGCCGTCATCCCTGGGAAAGGCCGTGGTGGCCTGACTTGTGGAAGTGGAGACACAAGTGGGTGGATTCCAGAACTCTCTGCTGGCAGAATTTCCAGAGTGTCCTAGTTTGGGTAGGAAACCCCTGAGACAAGGACACGACAGCAAGTACTTTATTTCGGTGATCTCAGGAAACCCAGGCAGGAGTGGAGAGGGGAGACTACGAAGGAAGGTGGCCAGGGACAGGCACCGGGCCCAGCCGCTGGGGACCTCGGGCAGCCAGTCAGGGCATGCGCATCCGCGTCACCCCCCAGGCAGGACGGCGACTCTCCTGGGTCACTGTGTGAGGGCTGCCGAGGGTGGGGTGCGGTGCACGAATTCTCCGGCACTTCCAGCTCAGGATGTGGGCAGAGGGCTTGGGCCGGGTGGGGAGGCCCTCCTCACCAGTGGGCCCCGGCACTGGGGCGGGGGGCAGGTTGGGGGATCAGAGTGGGGGAGGGGAGCAACCTGGGATGTGCACGGAATTGCTGCCGGGACGGTCAAGGGCGTGGAGTCCCCGACAGGAAGGGCCGGGGGAGGGGCAGTCTGGGAGGCCAGTGATGCTTTGGGTGTGCAGAGTGTGAGGGGCTGGCGGGGCGTCCAGGAGGCGCTGGCTCGATGGAGGGAGCTTAGACGGGCGGCAGTACGGGATGGCTGGGGCCGAGGGCCTGCTGAGACCCTCTGGGGAGCGTGCAGGGTGGGGAGAGGCAGCCAAGACGAGGTCCTGACCCCCAGGCCGGCGGGGAGGGGGCTGCAGAAAGCTGTTGGCTGCCCCGGGAGGTTTTCCAAATCCTGGCTTCTCGGGGAGGAAAACCCTCAGATCCCACGGCCCCTGCGCCGGGCATGCCCTTGATCGGGGACTGGAGCATGAGCAGGGATGGCCGTCTTCCCCCGGGCCACAGGGGTGCCGGGGACATGCATGTCAAACAGCGTGGAATGGGCCTGGACGCTGGCATCAGAGAGACGGTCACCTCCGTGGTCCTAAACGGCGGCTTCGTCTGTCCCCCACATCGCTATAGAGGAGGCTTCTCTGGGTCGGGCAACGCGGACACCGATAAGGGATGTCGCTGGGCCCTGGCGAGTTCCCGTCCGGGGAGTGAGACGGACCCAAGCCACCGTGCGGCCGGGGCTGTGGCGCGGCCAGGCAGGCCCCAAGGCGGCAGAGGCTCCTCACCCAGCTCGGGGGCGTGGGGGGCAGGAGACGGAGGGAGGGGTGGGAGGGGCTGCTGAGCCAGGGGCGCCCCAACTTCGTAGGGCCTCTACAGCTACGGCGACGATGCCTCGTCTTGGCTATGACAATGGCCAACAAGAAGAGCTCAGTGCCCCCGATCCGATCATGATCTCTCACCCTTGTGTGTGTTCCCGGGACTTTACGCTCACTCGTGTCATTCTAAATACAGCCCCGTTTTACAGAAGCGGAAACTGAGGCCCAGGAGGTTAAAACTGTGGCGTACCCAGCATCACACAGCCAGGAAGTGCCGGAGCTGGGGTTTGAACCAGCCTGTGTGACTCCACGGCCCACTGTCAGTGGCCGCACTTGCTGGGCGCACCCGCCCTGCCGGGCCTGGGCAGGGCACCAAGGGTGTGTGCGGCCCCGTCCTCGCGGAGCTCGTGGTCCAGATAAGCAGCCGATCAGACCGACTGTGGAAAGGGCGCTGTCTCCAGAATCCGGCCTCTTAGCTGCTAGTGGGTTTTCAGCCAAGAAAATATTGTGGAAATGCCTGGATGAGTTTTGCGATATTTGTGCAGGGAGCAGCTGCTCAGCTCCTGCCACGGGCTGAGTCGCCGGCAGGAGGACGGGGGAGGAGGGTGTCAGGGAGCCCGCGAGATCGAGCATGACTGTGTGCAGGTCTGTGCTCGGCACTTGGCTGCCTTCTCCCTGGACGGCCGGCCCAGCCCCAGGGAAGAGGGATTATTCCTCCTCTTATGCAGATGGAGACACTGAGGCGCTGAAAGGCAAGTCGACCCTGCTGAGGTCTCTGGTCCACGTGGCCATCAAACTCAGCCTGGCGTCTGGATCTTTCTCTTTCCCTGGGGACGCTCCTGCTCAGGTCCCCCGGGCCCCCGACCTCACTCCTGCCCCTCTCCCCTCTCCCAGCCTGCCCCAGCCCACCCGGCTTCCTCTTTCTTGAACATGCAAAACTCAGTCCTTTGCAGGGCCTTTGCACTTGCTGTTCTCTCTGCCTGAATGCTCTCCCTCCAAATCTGTGCATGGCTGGCTGTCTCATCTTGATGCCTCAGCTGAAAGGCCACCTCCTCCGAGAAGCTCTCCCTGATCTGCACCAGCGTCCCAGTCATCCTCATATCTCCACATACTCTCTTCTTCACAAAATTCATCCCTCTCTGAAATGATCTTTTTATATTGATGTGCTTGGTGTGTGTTTTATTTGTCTCTCTCCGCTAAGTGGCATGAGAACAGGGGCACCTTGTCTGTTTTGTTCATGTCTGTATCCCAAGAGCCTAAAATAGTGTTTGCACATAGTAGGTGCTCAATTGCCAGCTCTAAACCTCCAAGTTTCTCCCCCCACCTCCCATCTGAGAAACCACTTTCGTATACACAGTTACATAAACTTTTGGTTGTCCTAACTGCCCCCGAAGTTGCTATTTTTGGGGGGCTACTATGTTATGGATTCTGTCACAATTTTTTTTTTTCCTGAGGAAAGAGTTTGCTTTTAAAGCCTGCCTTTGGGGCTTTGCGGTGC